CTTTGGTTCTGTGTAATCTGTGAAATTCCAGTGCTTGGTTCTTTTATAAACACGCCGGTGCTCTGAGGAAGGCTATGGTGTGTAGCGGAAATCCACATTCCATATCCTCAGGTTAACTTTGTATGGGTTTACACGGAAAAGAACAATAACATTGTCACACAAAGGGTTCTTTCACATTCAGCAGAAGGAAATAAGGGGGGGGGGGGGGGGGGGGGGGGGGGGGGGGTTTGAAAATGGCCCACAGTTGGGCATTCTGGTTAACTCCTACATCTTTCTCCCAGGAACGTAAATTTTACCAAGTGACTTGTTAAGCCGGACATTATCAGGACTTGGTCTGTCTTACCTCAACCTGCCAATAACTGACTCTTTTTCCTAGGCCGGGTGCTCGTAAAACTTCTCAAGGGTCATTCTGGAAGATTCCAGGATCTTGCTTTTATCAAAACCCCGGTATTTTTCTGTTTATCTATAATCAAAGAAGGTGTTTAGGTTGTTCACCCTTACAATAGAAATCAAGATGCTCTAAGTTAAAATCTTTTCAGCCACAGACCTAAACTTCCTTTTATGTTAAACCTCTGTCATTTGGTGTTTCTCCAGTTAAAATTCGTGCTAATGGTAAAACTGTTCAGTTTTAAGACATGAATTTTATTCTTTCCCTTTTACAGTAATACTTTGATGCTAAAGTAATACTTTTGAGGCTTTATATGAATAACTGTGTTAAATTGTGATCATAGATTTTCATCTTGGAGAAGGTAGAGTTTATTTGGAAAAGCCACAGTACCCTCCAGTGGCTTTTGATACAGGTGGGCGTGCCCAAAAGGTTATATAAGTACCCATCCGAACCTCGTGGCGGCAGTTTAAGAACAAAGGATGCCTTAAGCTCATTTCCCTGCGGACTGTTTTCCATCTGGCCCAGCAGAACCTGGCGCTTTAAAGTAATTAGCTCCAAAAGTCACGGTCAAACTTAGAAGCAACTTCGTTTGTTTTGTTTTGACGTCCCATGCGCAACCGGAAGTTGATGCGTTCAAGACAGGTTTGCGCATTAAGAGTTGAAAGCAATTTGGAACAGTTTTCCAGATTAACTGTCTCTCTAGGCTGTTAATATCTTTGCACAAGTCTGCAAATTTCTGTGTCACAGTCTGAATGAGAGTTAGACTCTGAGAAAGAGAACCGTGATTAACATGGTTTAGGGTTAACTACATACTAGAATCAACACTGTTGCTATTCAGTTGTAGATTCTGAAAATGACCAAGCAGATTAACCTATGAGGCTTATATCGTGTATAAATATCCCGGATACTTATATAATCGATCTAAGTTCATAGCCCAACCTGTTTGGTCTATTTTTAATCCAAAGATTAATGTTTAATTTAAGATAATTAAATTTAATAGCAAAAGTTTATTTTTGAATCAGAAGCTAGGAATCTTTGCTTTTCAATAACCAGAAACAATTTTACATTTCTGTGTTTCATTTCAATAATGAGGCAAGTTTAAAAATGAAGAATTTTATTACTAACAATTTTTAAACTTTAAGATTTGAATGACAATTCATGGATGACAATTTAATGACAATCTTTACCAGCTTTGATATTAAACTTGTTTTAAAAGGCAACCCTGTGGCTGGATGAAAGCTAAATTGGAAATATGAGTTTGGATGCGTGAATGGATTTCTCAGAAGGTTTCTTTCACAGAGAGGAAAGCGTTCTGGGCTGGAAATGATGTTTTGCAGCTATCTGAGTTGTTTACTTAGAGAACAGCATCAAACGTCATCTGTCAAAAGTGTCTACCTCACCCAGGAGACCCCCTTTTGGATCCGAGATGTCAAGTGGAGATGATTTCCTCCGGGCACGAGGATGGTAGAAGGACCTTGATGCGACCAAATCAGTCCTGGGTTGTTTCTGTGGGTCACACGACTGATGAAACTATTTGCGTCTCAAAGTCCATAACTCTGAAGGAGTTGTTGCATCTTAACTTAACTCAGAAATCAATAACTCTGGAAGGAGTTTTTCATCAGCTGGTTACAGTTTACATTTATTCTTAGCTATTCTTATCGGCGTGACAGAACAGCGTGACAGAGGGTCAGGGCGGCCGACCCGTCTCCTCAGGATGGTTGGTTCAAGAACTGACGTGAAAGCTGTTGCAAGTTATTTTACAAAGTCCTCAGAACACGCCCACTCTCAGCAAGAAAGCTTTGGTCATGTGTCAAAAACATGTGTTGGCAGTTATTGTTTACTCTGGATAAACTCTGTGTTAGATGGATAAGGTGGAAGCTGACCTTCTGATTTGCTGAACACACATTACTGTCATCAACCATAATCATAACTATACCCAAAGCATAATAACTAATTTCAGTAATTAAAATACATTTATACTGAACCAAGTGATTATTTATGATGATTATAATAAACAGTAATAAAGTCAAAGAGTTTATTAATATTATTATTTAATTATCGTGAACTTGAAGTGTCCTTCTTCTGGGACGGAACAGCTGCAGATAATGAGATATATTCTTCAGACATCATGACTCCTTGGTTAATCTGTGGACTTGAAAGTTACAGTCTGACCCAGCTTGACCCAGCTGGCTAAATGTGACCTTTGCCACAAATCAGAGAACCTTGATGATGCTACAAGACCCCCCTTTGTCAATGGTAGGTGGTCGCAGAAAACTACCTGTCGTTGGCAACCAAAGACGTGAAGGGACTCTCTTTCTGAAGAAGCTGTAGCAGTCCAGGTGAAGGCTGGAGAGAGGTAAGTGTTTCCTCCCCCAGTGAAGACAGGAGCATATCCTGAGAAGTTGGTTAAGTCAACAATTGCAGATCATTGTAAAGTAATTCTAGAGAAGATGGCTATTTCAATAGCAGTTGATTAATACCAAAGGCGTATGCAAAAAGGATAAAGTAGCCTGTGTTCCCACACAGAACCGGGCAGGATGTAGACAGACGACCAGCCGTCAGCGGTAGGCCCCCGGATGGCCTCCAGGTGACCTCTCAGCGCAGGGCACTCAGGACGTCTCGAACCACGACCGAAGTGAAGCTCCATGCGACAGGAACACCAGGCGGGCAGAAACAGGCGTAGAGGACCCTCAGATGGTGAAGTCCCTCAGGCAGCGAAGACCAATGGTGAAGCTCATGAGTGAGAAGAGCAGAGCAGCAAGTGAGGCAGAGACACGAAGACTGCGTTTGATGCAAATCACAGAAATAAATTATAAACCTGTCACTGTGAGTACCTCTGTACTATGTGTTAGCATTATGTGTATTTAACCTTTAACTGAAGAAGTGGGTGCACTGCCTATGTGTGATGTCAAAAATGTGGTGCATTAAGCATGAAAGAAAATCAATAAAAGAAATCAAACCCTAACTGGTATGGGAGAAATCACCTGCACTAATTAAAGGCTTTATATAAGAATGAAGAGCAAAATTGGCTTGTAGCCCTTTAAGAGAAATTAACTAAGTTAATCCCTAAAGTTCTCAAACTCAATTACCCTAACGAAAGCACTATAAAAAGATAGATATGTAAGTCAACACTAAAAATGTAAATCAGTGGAGTTAGTAGTCCCTAAATGTGAGGTACCAAGATAACTGACTGAAGGCAGTTATCCTGATTAAACCTCAAAAGAGACTACTCAAGACTACTAAAAATAATCAAAAAAAGAATTGATTGAATTTGGATCGACACACCAGGTAGTGGAGACATCCACTTTCAACTGTTATGTTCTGAAAACACATGATTATTGGAACCACAGCAGACCACAGCCATAATTCACAAAGCCTGTATGATAGGATGTTTAGACATGAAGGCCATGCACACACATACTCACGACAGGACTCACGTGATCCGAAATCAGAGAACCCAGCGAGAGCGGACGGAAGTTCACCCCCTCTTTGGCACAATTCGAGTTGGTGGTCAGCTATTTTGGTTGAAACGATGTCTAAATCAATAGGATTTTTGTGCGATTTAAATTTGGTTCTGTGGACCCATAGATAAATGGGAGCTTTGTTGCCTTTGGAGATCTTAATGAGAAACACGACCGGAGAGCGTGGTTTAGTTGGTAGGTCAGGACCTGATTTTTCCTGTAAAAGGTTATTAATCAGTTTACCAGAGGTGACTGTTGTGTGACCAGGATCTGGAGCGAACTGGAGGTCAAGAAGAGAAGCCCTCAGATCACGAGGAGTCCTACTGCCCCCTGCTGGTATCTTATGCCATGTCTGTTGAACAGGAACGAAAGAACATACAGGAATATTGATGAGGCTCTGGAGCGCCCGCTCACTAGAAAAAGTCACAGCGCCACCAGAATGAACTGGCTGGACCCACAAGTGATGGATGGACATAAAGATATCTGGGAGTCCCCTGGATGTGGAACCCAGATCCACACGGTCGAGTTAGATAGTGCTGCTGAGAAAGCAGACAGAGACATGTGACTAGCAAGAGCAACATCATCTGTCCTGAAGACTGAAACCAAGAATGTTTTAGGCTGCAGACAGGTGCAGGCTTACGAGGATCCGGAGCAGATGTGCTTCCGGGAAGGTCCCCGGTTGACAAGCGGGCACGTTCAGAGAGATCAGGGTCCACCAGCAGATTTACAGGGCGACATCTGTAATGGAGTAAGGTCAGTGAGTGCGTCGGCCCCCCCTTCGGTGGGTAGAGATCCCCCCTCAGAGTACTGGGTTTCAGCTGGAGTCTCTGTGCCACTATCAGCTCTCCCTGTGACAGGGTGTGGAGTTATCGGTGGAGCGTCTCAACCAGCAGCAGCTCCGCCTGGATCGGGAGGGACGCCCGATCCCTGCAGGATCTTAGCTGTCGAGGCCACAGAGGCTCTGTGGACATCACTGATCATATGGATGCTGGTTTCTCCCATCAGTCCGAAGCACAAGCGGCCAAGACCTGAAAGAGAGATGACCCGAGCACAGGATAGAGCATGCAGCTCTGGAATGGAGTCAAAACCCCTGTGAAAGATGCTGAAAAGCTTTTGGGTCAAAAGGGTTCAAGATCATCCCACTGACAGCAGGATGCTGGACCTGAAGACTGACAAGGTCATTCACAGAAAAGCCAAGTTGAACAGACACAAACACTTCAGGTGGTTTTAAGATGGGGTCATCAGGGGGCCACAAGGGTCTCAGGGCCCATGATGTGTCCACCATCAGAATCAGAAGTTTTTATTGCCGTATGTGTGCCAAGTCACAACATTAGGAAATTGCTGCAGTATTTTGGTGCAGAAGGTAAGATAGAAAAAAAATAATTAAGCGATAAGCAAATATAAGAACTAATAAAACACTCATGATAAAATTATTAATGTAAAAAGTGGCAAGAATTAGAGAAGCAGCTATCTACTCCGTGTAGGTATTAATCTGAGTATTTATTGAATGTTTCAAGCACGGCATCGGTCACGTGACTGGGACCAATCAACTTGAGTGGGCTGCCCTAGGATTTTCATTCAAAAGTCCAACTGCAGAGGGGAAGAAACTGTTTTTGTGGTGAGAGGTTCTGGTCCGAATGGATCTGAGCCTTCTGCCAGATGGGAGCGAGTCGAAGAGACTGTGTCCAGGGTGACACGAGTCAGCTATTATCTGACCTGCACGCCTCAATGTCCTAGAGGTGTACAGATCTTGAATGGAGGGGAGTTTGCAGCCAATGACCTTCTCTGCAGAGCGCACGACACGCTGCAGCCTCTTCTTGTCCCTGGTGGTAGCTCCAGCGTACCACACGGTGATGGAGGAGGTGAGGGTGGACTCGATGATAGCGGTGTAGAAACGCCTCATTGACTGTGGTGATAGGTTGAATTTCTTCAACTGCCTCAGGAAGTACATCCTCTGCTGGGCCTTTTTTCTGATGGTGGTGATGGTAGGCTCCCATTCGAGGTCCTGGGTGATGGTGGTGCCCAGGAAGCGACATGAGTCCACCATCGTGATGGGAGTGTCAGACAGGTTTAAGGGGGGGATGGGGTGTGTGTGTTTCCTAAAGTCCACAACAACCTCCGCTGTCTTCTGGGTGTTTAGCACCAGGTTGTTGTGGCTGCACCAGGACACCAGACGTTCAGCCTCCATTCTGTAAGCGGACTCATCCCCATTAGAGATGAGTCCGATGATGGTGGTGTCGTCAGCAAACTTAATTAGTTTGACAGACTCATGCTTGGAGGTGCAGCTGTTGGTGTACAGGGAGAAGAGCAGAGGGGAAAGCACAGCCCTGTGGTGAGCCGGTGCTGACGGTCCGTAGGTCCGAGACATTCTTCCCCAGCCTGAGTTGTTGTTTCCTGTCTGTCAGGAAGTCAGTGATCCACCTGCAGATGGGGTCAGGCACGTTCATCTGGGACATTTTGTCTTGGAGGAGGTCTGGCAGGATTGTGTTGAATGCAGAGCTGAAGTCCACAAACAATATCCTGGCGTAGGTACCTGGGGAATCCAGATGCTGCACCCAGAGAAGCAAGTTGGTCTGTACAAGCGATGAACTGGCCGTTGAGGAAGTTCTCTGGTGGAAGTCGAGTGTCAAAGCTGAGATTCTGGCCATCCACGTAACTGGTGAGGTGTTCACCTGTCCACATGGTGGAAAGAGAAAGATTATGGCAATCATGGTAACTTAACACAAGGTGTTGTTTGTCTCGGTCGACTACTGAGGTAGGAGCTTCAGCTATGTTAAAGAAATCAGCAGATTGTGACTGTGATGGTAGCTGAATCTGTGGTGGCAAAAGTTCTGAACCAGGTGGCGAACATGGTGTTCCCACCTGCTCAGAGCTACCAACCGTGAGACAGTGGAGGTCCGGAGGCAGGGCCGCGGTCAAAGGCAGGTCGACCTCTGACTAGAGCACTCCCTCCTCATCAATGAAAGCATTAATGCGGCTCAGAAAGTCCATGCCAAGGGTGAAAGCCATCCTTGCATGGTCGGAGATGTAAACAGGGTGTGTCAGAGTCATGGGGCCGACTGATATCTGGAGATCGAACCTAGAAGACGAGATTAAGTCATGAGAGGAAGTCCTGTCAATTACAGAACATGATGTGAGTTCTGGGGGCCTGACCACCCCTCCACAGGAAATGCAAATGCGATCGAACATGGCTTGTGTGACCAGTGTAAAGGAGCTTCACTTGTAAGTCACTTTGGACAAAAGCGTCTGCTAAATACATAAACATAAACATAAACATAGTGACGAATTGGTACAAAACCACTCGATCAGACTAAATCTGAACGTTCCCGAAAGCTTAAGATAAGTGCGTTTAAACTGTATCGGAGAACGGGGTGCTATTCAGTTGTGTTACAGCTGATTAGCTACTAGCTTTGCTCGCGTGAGCAGAGGGAGAATGGATTCTCTCTCAGAAGACACTGCGTGTCAAGATGGAATAAACGTCCAAACACACTCAAACACTATCAAACAACACATTCACTTACTTTAGCAGTTAGGATGCCTTTAAACAGTCCCACAGACTTGTGGATTAATCGCTGTATCAGCTGTGTCACAACTTGCCAGATGTCGGTGTCACCGCAAAAAGCTTCCCTCCCGGAAGTTTCCGGAGGAAGGAAATTAAGGTGAGACAACTCCCGTTTTTAGTGAAATATTGAAAATAAAACACAGAAATCGTGTTTTTATTTTGGAAAAGAATGGCTCGCCGGATTATTGAATAAGACTGGGTGGCTACGATCAATTATGTAGGGTTAACTACATACTAGAATCAACACTGTTGCTATTCAGTTGAAGATTCTGAAAATGACCAAACAGATTAACCTATGAGGCTTGTATCGTGTATAAATATCCTGGATACTTATATAATCGATCCAAAGATTAATGTTTAATTTAAGATAATTAAATTTAATAGCAAAAGTTTATTTTTGAATCAGAAGCTAGGAATCTTTGCTTTTCTGTGTTTCATTTCAATAATGAGGCAAGTTTAAAAATGAAGAATTTTATTACCAACAATTTTTAAACTTTAAGATTTGAATGACAATTATGAATGACAATTCCTGGATGGCAATTTAATGACAATCTTTACCAGCTTTGATATTAAACTTGTTTTAAAAGGCAAACCTGTGGCTGGATGAAAGCTAAATTGGAAATATGAGTTTGGATGCGTGAATGGATTTCTCAGAAGGTTTCTTTCAGAGAGAGGAAAGTGTTCTGGGCTGGAAATGATGTTTTGCAGCTATCTGAGTTGTTTACTTAGAGAACAGCATCAAACGTCATCTGTCAAAAGTGTCTACCTCACCCAGGAGACCCCCTTTTGGATCCGAGATGTCAAGTGGAGATGATTTCCTCCGGGCACGAGGATGGTAGAAGGACCTCGATGCGACCAAATCAGTCCTGGGTTGTCTCCGTGGGTCACACGAGTATTTGCGTCTCAAAGTCCGTAACTCTGAAGTAGTTGTTGTATCTTAACTCAGAAATCAATAACTCTGGAAGGAGTTTTTCATCAGCTGGTTACAGTTTACATTTATTCTTAGCTATTCTTATCGGCGTGACAGAACAGCGTGACAGAGGGTCAGGGCGGCCGACCCGTCTCCTCAGGATGGTTGGTTCAAGAACTGACGTGAAAGCTGTTGCAAGTTAGTTTACAAAGTCCTCAGAACACACCCACTCTCAGCAAGAAAGCTTTGGTCATGCGTCAAAAACGTGTTGGCAGTTATTGTTTACTCTGGATAAACTCTGTGTTAGATGGATAAGGTGGAAGCTGACCTTCTGATTTGCTGAACACACATTACTGTCATCAACCATAATCATAACTATACCCAAAGCATAATAATTCATTTCAGTAATTAAAATACATTTATACTGAACCAAGTGATTATTTATGATGATTATAATAAACAGTAATAAAGTCAAAGAGTTTTTTAATATTATTTTTTAATTATTATCGTGAACTTGAAGTGTCCTTCTGGGACGAAACAGCAGCAGATAATGAGATTTATTCTTCAGACATCATGACTCCTTGGTTAATCTGTGGACTTAAAAGTTACTGTCTGACCCAGCTTGACCCAGCTGGCTAAATGTGACCTTTGCCACAAATCAGAGAACCTTGATGATGCTACAATGGTTAGCTCTGTTTCTCTGACAGTGATTAACATGGTTAGTTCTCTTTCTCTGACCGCGATCAGCAGAGGTGTGACCAAGTCACTGTTTTGCAAGTCGCAAGTAAGTCACAAGTCTTTCCAGTCAAGTCTCGAGTCAAGTCCAAGTCAAAGACAACCAAGTCCAAGTCGAGTACAAAGTTAATGATGTGGAAGTCCAAGTCAAGTCCAAGTTCTTAACTTTGACTTTTCAAGTCATAATCAAGTCATCTGTCCAACTTCAATTTCATTCCAGATATAAAGCTTATTAAAGCTTCATTTATTTGCTCACACAAGCAGAAAGTGAAACTGGAACTGATTTTAAGCAAAGTGCTGCTGCATTTAGCAGAACAAGATCAAACCCAGAACGACGAATGATTTATGATTTTTGTCCATGTCGTGCCACTTTGTGCTAAAATATCAAATATGCTCAAGTCATCATCAAGTCAACAGATGCAAGTTGATTCAAGTCGCAAGTCATTGGCGTTCAAGTCCGAGTCAAGTCGTAAGTCTATAGATTTCATCAAGTCAAGTCAGAAGTCATTAAAATAATGACTCAAGTCTGACTCGAGTCTGAGTCATGTGACTTGAGTCCATACCTCTGGCAATTTGCATGGTTAGTTCTCTTTTTGTCTCAGAGATAGGTAAATCAGCCGGTAAATTACATGTGGCTCTGATGAGCTACAGAAAAGTGTGAGTTGGTTGTTGTGGAACATGGCTGCTGTAATGTGAAGTGACGATGGTGTTAATAAAAGAGCCTCTCGAGTTCATAGCTGTCATCCTCTTTTCATGTGCAGCTTTTATACAGTTAGCATCATCCTCACGGGTTCACTCACGTTTAGCCCCATATGTTACTCATGTTGCTTTGCAAACACAGGAGTCTTCAGTCTTGCATAAGTCTGGAATGTTTTCCTTAAAAATTTGGTGCTGCTAAAAATCGACGTAGTTCATCTCAAGTTAGTCTCCTGTGACCAGCATGTGAGGCTTATCACATTGGCCACAAAGGTTACGGAGATAACGTTATCTAACCGTTTCTGCACCTCTAGGGTAACAAGACATTGAAATGGTTTGTTGTTTAATAGCAGAGGCAGAATCATCATTGGTGGGGACATATCACCCCCATCCATGCCAAATCTACGCCCTTGATTTAGGAGAATCGAAACAGCCGGTAAACTAGTGAACTCATAGATGGAGAATTGTAATTTTAGAGAATGCTAATCCCAGTACCATGTCATGCAGAAAGAGCACAACTAGTATTTGAATCTGTGACCTTAATGTGTGCATGTTGGGGGGGGGGGGGGGGGGGGGGGGGGGGGGGTAATTCAATTCAAGTTTATTTATATAGTGCCAAACCATGACAAGAGTCGTCTCAAGAGTCTAATCAATTTCCCTCTGGGATTAATAAAGTATTTTTGAATTTGAATTGAATTGAAGGCACTTCACATAGTAAACATTCCAATACAGGTCAGTTCATTAAGCCAATCAGAAAAAAAGTTTACTATATAAGGAACCCAGTAAATTTCATCGAGTCACTGACTAGTGTCAGAGTCTTTAGAGCAATTCCTCATACTAAGCAAGCATGCAGCAACAGTGAAGAGGAAAACTCCCTTTTAACAGGAAGAAACCAATCCTGTGTTACGTCCCCGACAGGTGTCGTTAAAATGTGAAGGAGGGGGCAACATAAGAAATACGACAGTGGAGTTAAAATGGTTTTAATTGTTGTAAAAGGTTCTAAAAACGAGCAAACACACGGTGAGCATTATAAAGATAATGCAAAACAAGCAAAATCAAGACTAAAAGGTTAACATTTACAAGACGAATTATCAACATTTAAACACCTGGTTAAAACTTTGTTAAAAGTTTTACCGAAACAGAAGGTGCTTTCAAACACAAGTTAATAATGAAAACTGACGTACTACGAAAACACAGAGTGTTTTAAAATCCCAAAGTCGGTAAACTACGATGTTAACCTTAAAACGAAGAACATCAAATGATCCGTCCATATCATCTAGGAGCTTCAACCCCTTGAAAGCTCATAACTCAGAGTTAAAACCTTAACGTTAACTCCTCTCAAAACGAAGGGGTTTAAAACCAAAAACTAGGCCTGGAGGACAGCTATACCTCTGCACTGCTGCCTCATCAAAAAGGTTAACATTAAACCAATTACCAGCTATAAAAAACACCTGGTTAAAATGTATTAAGTTTTACTGAACAGAAGGTGTTTTTAAAATCCAGAAGTTGATAAAAGTCTAAAGCAATCTACTGACACCTGGTAAAAACTTATTGTAAAAGTTTCACCAACACAGAAGGTGTTTAAAACTGGAGTCAATAAAATTGCATCAAACCAAGTTAACCTTAACAAACAAAGACCCAATGGGATCACTCAGAATTAAAACTATTTAAGTTAAAACTCTTCAACTCGAAGGGGGTGAAAACAAAATGAGGCCTGGAGGAAAGCAGAACCCCTGCACTGCTGCCTCCCAGACTGCTGAAGGCACAGCCTTTTTTTTATCCCAGGTGTTGGTCATCAGAAGGATCAGCTGTGCTCCCCAGCAGCCTGGAAGAGAGGAGGAGGAGGGGCGGTGTCAGGCTGATCACCGGGGCTGGGTGATCCTGGCTCCTAAATCTCACTGGCCAGGCTGGTAGCTGTAACATCCTGGCTCAGTATAAGCAGCCATCCACCACGACTCACTGGAGATCAAGAAGACAGAACAGACACACACACACACAAACACAACCCCCCCCCCCCCCCCCCCCCCCCCACACACACACACACACACACACACACACACACACACACACACTCAGACAAAAAGACAGACAGAGCCGGCTCAAAGCTTCAGAACTGCATTCGGACCTTCCACACACACAGAGATCTCGGCCGAGACACACATTCAGGCTTCAGAACCTCGGCCCAAAACTTCTCTCTCACACACACACAAACAGAACCCTGCAGGCTTTCACTCACACACATTCAGAGTTTCGACACACAAATTTAAAACCACAAAGCGACATACAACGCAATAATCATAATACAGAAAACATGCCAGTCACCAGCGACAACTTAAACAATACACAACACATAAACACGGAAACCGGCAAGCCCACCCACAAAATGGAACGCAGCCCCATGACGCCAGAAACACAAAAATCACACATAACACAGACCGGGAATTTAGACCGACTTGAGATCTTTAAGCCAAATATAGAGTTCAATACCAGAAACAGGCTCAAAACCTCCAAACTTTAGCCAAACAATCTCACACGTCTTTTTCCTTTCATCAACCGAACTTTCTCACACACTCAAGAGCTTGTGGCTTACACGCACACGCGGCAACTGGCCCACCGCAATCAACATACACACACACACACTCGAACGCAGCAGGACGGCAGCCGAACCAATGTTCCCAGCCGTGTTTTTTAGCGCTTCAGCACAATTTTTAAAACCACAACACAACGCATATACTCACAAAACAACTG